CTACTTCTAGTGGCATCAACATTCTTTTATTTATCCAGGTTTTCACATTTTTGAATTTTTATTAACATAGCCTTCTCTTTCATCAGTCATCTGTAACTTCAAGTTTTGCTTTAAGTTGTCTCCACTGTCTTCATTTTTCTTTCCAAGTTAACACTCTAACCTTAACCCATATCTAAATTATTGTAAAATCTCTCAGTTTATATTCTTAATTTCTTCGCCTCATTACCCTCAATTTAAATTCGCAAGAATGATGTTGACTCTAAACCTTGACATCAAATTGTCTTGATGAATTGATTTTTTTCTAAGAATTTTAAGGAGTAAATGAGATAATGAATTAGTGCTTTATAACTATATATCCCCTAGCTCTTGATTTATTCCCTCCTTTTAAAAATCTTTGCATCTTGCCAGGCGTGGTGGCTCACACCTGTAATCCCAGCACTTTAGGAGGCAGAGGCAAGCGGATCATCTGAGGTCAGGAGTTCGAGACCAGCCTGGCTAACATGGTGAAACCCCATTTCTACTAAAAATACAAAAAATTATCTGGGTGTGGTGGCATGCACCTGTAATCCCAGCTACTCAGGAGGCTGAGGCAGGTGACTCACTTGAACCTGGGGGGCAGAGATTGCAGTGAGGCAAGATCGTCCCATTGCACTCCAGCTTGGGCAGCAAAAGTGAAACTCTGTGTCAAAAAGAAAAAAGAAATCCTTCCATCTTAAACTCTATTTTTTAAGAAGATTTTTCGTAATTGAGCCAATATTTGTTTAACCTTAATTTCTATAAAGAGATGAAATGGTGTACTAATTAAGAGTAAAGACTGTAGAATTTAAATCAAGCCTCGCATTCTGGGTCTAAGTACCCAGGACAAATCATTTGATCTGTTTGCACCTCTGTCTTTTCAACTTTATAACAGAGGTAACACTATCTGTTTTAGGTAACACTATCATGAGGACTAATTAATAGTCTCAAATTACTACCTGGCATACTATATATGGTACATATCAGTACTGAAGCACACAATTTTTTGAATTTTACTGCACTTATATATTAACTGGTCAGGAAACACACCATAAAGTACTTTCACTTGAGGGTGAAAATCTCAGACATAACATTTGTAAAAAATACCATGTGACATCTAAATATAATGAGACATGTGGAGACTCATATGACAGGAAATGGAGAAAAGGCAATCTAGGAATTAACTTTATGGTTCATAAGGTAAAAGGAACCTACCCCATGTGAGACATAATCCCTTCATGTTTATATTCTCCATCTTTGCAATTAATCAGATTCAGTAAGAGCGAACAAGCCAACAGGCCAGGTTCATGTTTGAGCCATTTCCAAGTACTATGTGATACAAATAGTTGTTATAGACTCTAATTAGCTACTTGACCCTAAGAATTCCAGCCAGTTTACTGTAAGACAGCCAAGGATCATGCCCCTTCACTTCTGAGCTTTAAGTTTCCCGAACTGTAAAACAAGGTGTGAACCAGATAGGGTGCTTCTGAGATGCTTTCCAACTGTGAAATTCTGTTGGTTTGTAATTTCATAAATCATAGAAAGCATTTTACTATAGTGAGTGGTCTACTATAAATAGAAGTATCTTCACCAAGCCAATACTCAGAATATTTGTACTTTAAGTTTATTGACAACTATTGGGAATTAGTGCTTTTATTGACTATGTTAGTCTGACTGAAAATTAAAAATAGATCATAGGAAGTGAATTTCTTACCTCCTTTTAGGTTATTACAATTTTATGTTCAGTAAAAGCAGACACTTAAAGGAATGAGGAAGCTTCCAGAGTTGAAATGCCCTGTTGGCAGTGTGACTCTGCTACAGAATACTATTTGGGGAGACCAGCTTACTCATTGTGGGGTGCAGGGAATGGGGGAAGCTGGGAGGGCCAAAAACCCACAAGAGTAGTAGAAAAGAATCTTCCCTTAGGAGGATAACATCCTCTGCATTCTATTTTTATATTTCAAAGTGGGGTATTTTTACTTCAAATGACAGTACTGTATATAGTTATCAAAAGCAGAACGTTGTATATTTGCTAATAGAGAAGTATTGCTACATGATGATCTCCTTGCGCCCCATGACTTTGTAAAGAAAAAAATAATCCTAATAAAATCAGTTCTTAAAATGTTTTAAATTCTTAATAAAAAATGCTGTAGTAAATATAGATCTTCACTTCAAAACACTTTATATTTTGTTTAATATCTCTCTTGTCTTCTGTAACTTTCCCAGTTTTTTCCGTAACATTGATATTTTTTCAGCATTTAAGCTAGCTCTCTTGTAGAGTAGTCCACATTCTGAATTTATCCGATTGTTTCATTATTAGATTCAGATAAAATACTTTTGGAGAAATACAGCATAGGTGATTTTTTTTCCCCTGTTGCACTATATCAGGAGGCATCAAATGTTAGCCTGTCTGATTATTAGTAATGTTAAATTTGATAATTTGTTTAAGGTAGAGTCTGGTGGTAAGTCAACATACGTTCGAAATTTAAAGTTATCAGTAACCAAAGAATGTCTTGTTCAATGACAGTCTCTCATCTAATAGGTTTTGTCATCTATTTATGAACCTTGCCAGAATCAGTGATTACCTTAGTGGTTGCAAAATATTGATTTTCTACTTCAAGAGATGTGTTAAGTTAAAAAAAAAAATTATTACCATAAGATGGCCCTTGGCTATAGTAATCATTTGCTCTTTTTGTTTAGAATGTATTAGGAAATATGTGAGAGAATTAGGTTCAAATGTTGTCTTTACCTGTAGAGGTTGAGCTCTTTAGGAAGTTCCACAAGATGTGCTCACTTCGGCAGCACATACACTAAAAAAAAAAAAAGTTCTGCAAGAGTTAAGGTACCAGAAAAATTAAGTAGAAAATTTATCAGCCATGTTAGTAATTAGATTTAGATAATTAAATTTCTGATATTAGTCCCATAGTTGCCCCAGTTCCTATGATTCAGACAGGAATTATCTTTTACCTTAAAACTACAGTTAAAACCTGTAGAGTCAGTATACTTCTATATTTGCAGAAGATGTTGTGGGACCATCCTAAAATGTATAGCACAAATTGAAGATGCAAGCAAAAAGTTAAATTTTATTAACTCAAATTTCGGCTGGGTGCGGTTGCTCACACCTATAATCCCAGCACTTTGGGAGTCCAATGCAGGTGGATCAGTTGACGTCAGGAGTTCAAGACCAGCCTGGCCAACATGATGACACCCCATCTCTCGTAAAAATACAAAATTTATCTGGTTGTGGTGGCGGGTGCCTGTAATCCCAGCTACTCAGGAGGCTGATGCAGGAGGCTCGCTTGAACAGGGGAGGCAGAGATTGCAGTGAGCCGAGATTGCGCCGCTGCACTCCAGCCTGGATGACAGAATGAGATTCCATCCTAAAAAAAATATATATATATCAACTCAAATGTCTGTTATTGAGGATTATTTGAAAGTTTTTATTACCTGACCTTGGTAGCATGTTTTAAGCACAATTCCGCAACATCATTAGAAACCTAAACCTGTTTCACTGTTTGTGTTTTAACATTTGTGAGGTAGAGACAAAACCAACTCATATAATTAATTACTGGTGTCGTAGTATCCAAAAAGAATATTAATGATAAGATTCTGTCTTATTAACAAGTTGTAGATTATTTCTAAATTAACAGTTTATTATCACTAGAGCTCACTGTTAACAGCTGAGTCACTTCCCTTCATAATTAGAAGAAGGCCTCTGTTTGACAGCAATAAAACTATATTTTAGGTTAATTTTTAATTATGATTTTTCACTAATTCACTAATTGAATTTTTAAGGCCTACCTAACAATTTCCAAAGCTTGACGAGAGAGCTTTTGAAATGTAGTAGAAATAGTCATTTGTTTTTTTCTACAGTGTAAGTGGGTTGCTTCATTATTCTGCATTTTAGCTTGTCCATCTGTTTCATAACAAGTTTCTATTACAGTTTTTAAGAAAAGCTGCCTTGAAATATGTTTCTTATAAGTAACAACGATTTTATCTGAGAATGAATCATTTATACTTGTTGGTGGAAGCGATAATAACTCTTTATGGAAAAGTCAGGAGCTTGGATATTTGTTTTTTGGGTACCTAGGCTGGCACTTAATTTTTACCTCTTTTACCAGAAAGTGCAGGGTGCAGTAAAAGATTATACACTGGAGAAATTTTAGGTAAATCAGTGTGAATCAGCTGCCCCATCGCCTTTGTTGTTTGAAGATTTAGGAAGATTTTGTGGATTTCTTTGTATTTTTAACATGGATCTACTTCTAGGGCTGGGTCTATTTTTGAAAAGGTATTTGTATTTTTTCACACTTTACTATAAAGCTGGTATCTTTTTATAGTGTTTGTCAAGTTAGTATAAAAAGTACTGCTGGTCTATTAATCTGTAAGGTTATATGAACTCTGCAAGACTTAACATTTTAGAGACATAGAAAAGTGGGATTTCTGGTTAGTGATGTACAGGTCTTCATGTAATGCAGGTAATGTATGAGCATTGTTGGATGGATCCTTATAACATTCCTGTATGCTTTTTTGAAAATATGATCTTGTTTAACAAAATGGGAAACAGAGGCACATGCTTTATCCAGCTATCACAGAAAATAATAGTTAGAATCCAGAAAACATACTCATCTGATTCAGTGTTTTGCCCAATAGATGGAATTAGTATTGTTTTCTTTATCTTATTTACCTTATAATTTTTAAACATTGTTTTTTCAGTTCAGTTTTGATTGATTCCTTTTCTTGTAAGTCTACCACTTAAAATAATATAGCCAACAGGAATCTGACACGAGGCAGAATTGTCCTCTGATTGCAGCTCTATTGCTATCTCCATCTGTTGGTATGAAGAAGTAGTGCTCTTGCCAGAATAAGCAAGCTTATTATAATTTTAGCAAAAATAGATTAAGAAATAAGGAATTGTGCTGTTAATTCATTTTCTTTCTTTGTGACAGGTAAAGTCAGTTGGAAGCTGCAAAAGTGTCATAGGAAGTTAGCTATTATAGACAAACTGCCTTTTTAAAGGCTTTTTGTTAGTGATATTAAAAATGTCAAAAAGAGTTATTTAAAAATTGATGTATTAACCATGCCTAAATTCCTTATGGATTGTTCTTTAAGGAATTACAGAAATATATAGTTGTCTCGACTTTTTTTTCTTCAACCTGGGATCAAGCATCATTGTGCAACAATATTTTAATAGTGAGAAATCTCAAAACTCCTGACAGTCTTTGCATATTCACAGTTTCATGGGCTTTTGCATCATTGCTTCTGAATTGCTAATGAAGAGCTCAATATAGCTTCTGATGCATTTCAGATATACTGGGTGGTGACTGGCTAGAGTGTTACTGACATCACAACATACAGCTGTTGACTTTCTATTGTCTGAGTCCTTCTCAGCAAGTGCTTTAGACTGCTCTGGCAGGCACTCCCAATGCCTGACTAATCAGCTGGATGTGTGCAGTGAGCTCTGTAGAGGAGCAATGCAGAGCATCAGTTTACAGGTACTATGGAAAGTACATCTTCTTAACTCTGTATGATGAAGCAAATACCAATACAATGAAGGTATGTGATTCTTAATTCATTTGCTAAATTTGTATATAAGGTAACCTGATATATGAAGAATTATTCATGTTCACTTCATGCCATAATTTTTGTTAAAGGATGTGTGATAAAATTCTACCCTGTTGAAAGTGAGAGCATTTTAAAATTGGTTTTGTTATTTTTACAAAGATGTATTTGTTTAGGTTGATGAAGGGAAAAGTAGAGTCATTTACTTCTCAGCTGTAGCACTGATTTCTTTTCCCCACCCTTCACATGTTCCATATTTCTTGAACCTTACTGATAGAATGGTTTACCTATGTGCTAATAGGTGTTGGTGTATAGCACAGCAAATTGTTAGTTGGAAACATGACTTCTCTTTCAAGTTCATCTTAAAATAGACATACTATATGGTTTGTTCAATTTCAAAAATTTTATTGTGGAACAAACACAATGTGAATGAGACGCTTAGAAATTAAGAAGCTAACAATCTTAACTTTCAAAACTCATGGTAATGGTTTTATATCCTTTTAGGGGAAGAGGTGGAATAATTTTTAAAGTGTTTGTAACAGTAAAACCTAGATCTGTCATTGCTATGATTAGCATAATCAGATATCACATTGCAAAAGAGAGCAAATGCTAATCAAACTATGTAATTTTTGAGGAGTATCTGATTCCTAATTATACAGTCTGAAAACTTTGACATTTACCTTGATATTTTGATTCCTCAAAACTGAAATCTTATCATGTAGGTGATACTGAATAACACATGTCCATTAGTGTATAATTGAATTGTTTAGAAGGTTTTTGAGAGTTTTGCTTGCTTTTTATCTGGAAATAGCTGAAATTTTAACAGCATTTGGAATTGTTATGATATGAATCCCCCCCCATTTAAATGAAACAATTATTTTGTTCTTAAGAAATAATTCGTTTTTAGAGGAAATCGGAAGAAAATCACTAAATAGCCTTTTATCAACGCTGAATGTCATTGCTTTTTCTTTTGTCTATTCCTGATTCCCAACTGTGTAAGTAATTAGGGTTGTGAAAATATTAATAGCTATTATTAAAATTAGGGTCTTTTTTCAGAGGCATTTCTTCACCCTAATGCCAAGAGAATTTCATTAAGCCTCAGATTTTAAGTTTTATATTGAGAACTATAAAAGAAAAAATTAAAATAAGTAGCACATACTCTCAGTTCTTACCTACAACTGCTTTTATCCATCCTTTGTCACATTCTGCTTTTTTGTTTCATATCTTTTCCTCATTTTCATTTCCTCTTTTCTTTCCTTTAGGTTTCTGTTTGTGTGTGTGTGTGTGTGTGTCTGTCTTGCCCTCCCTCTTTTTCTGTTCGACTTTCTGAATATTTGTCTCCCTCCATCTTCCATTCTTCCTATCCCCACCCATTTTTCTCTCCTCTCCTTCTCCATTTGTCTTTCCACTTTGTTTCAGTCTATCTTCCTTTCTGTTCATCTACCTGGTGTTTCAGGGTGTCTCTCCCTTTCTGACTAAATCTATCTTAATCGCTCTCATTCTCTCTCTCCCTTTCTCCCTCATCTTTTCTTTCTCTTTCTTTCTGTCTTTCCTTTTCTGCCCCTCTGACTCTCTCTCCCTGTCTGTTTTAGTATCTCCCATTCTCTGTCTCTTGCTTTCCCACTGTGTCTTGGTCTCTTCCTCTCCCTATCTGTTAGTCTGTGTCCATTATTCCCTCTTTCTTGGTCTGTTTCGCTATGTGCCCTTCTTTCTTCTCCCTCTCTCATCCTTTTGTTGCTCTGTGCCTCTCTTTCTCCCTACCTTTCGGTCTCTATTTATGTGTCTCCCTGGCTGTACCTCTTTCAGTCTGCCTCCATCCTTCCCTCTCTTGGCACTCTGCTCTCTTTCCTGCCCTACTCCCAGATCTTTCTCTCTCTTTCCTGTCTAAGCTTCAGTCATACACATTCACTCTGCAAATTTTCATTCTCATACAGGTTTTCAGTTTTCTTTCGAGCCTAGATTTGCACTCTAAATTGTTTGGTTAATTAGTAAACCATTAGGTAAAGAACTTAATGCCATATTTTAAATAAACATGATATACTGTTTGCTTGGTTTTTTAATTTTGAGAAACTTAATGCTTGAGGTCTTATACATGGATTAAAATTGTCACATATCGAAATCATTATTTTACAAATTTTTGTTGGTCTTCTAAAGATATACATGTTAGGCCATTATTAAAGGGAATTATTTTTTCTTTTAAAGGATTTTTCCATTAATTTTTAAGACTTATAGAAAGCAATTTAAAATTTTTTCCTTTTAAGGATACATAAGATAATACCCACTTCATAATTATATTTTAAGATTATGGGTAAGCTTATATTTAAAACTTGCATGGACTTTCTTATACCATCTGTATTTTTCACATGTAGTTAACAGCAGATATATGCTAGTATTTTCTTCTTTTGTTTTTAACCCCTTGTTTTGAAATAATTACAGATTTATAGAAAGTTGCGAAAATAGTACAGAGTATTTTTAAAATGTTTTCCTCAAGATTTTGTATTTTGTATCTGAGACTTTAAAATAGAAGCGCAGACGCTCATTTAGCATTTACCTGTTTGCATAATCACAAACCTAGCAACTGTCATTATATTGTTTTCATTTCATTTTGTAAAGCAGATTAAGATACCGTTTGATGAAGGCATAGCATATATTAATAGTGATATGGCTTTGTCACAACTAGCACAGAGCTATCAGGAAAGAAAATTAGATTTACAAGTAATAAGTTATATATGTAAAGTATTGAAGAAGCAAAGAAAGACGTATAGGATGAAAATCTTCTCTGAGCTGAGTTAAATGTGATTTGCACATATAGCTCTTCCTCCTCTGAAATTATCTAGCATTCCTTGTTTCTGCATTCTTTTGATGTCTCTACTGCTTTATATAGTTATCATCTCTGCTCTTGATCCCCCCGGTTGTAGGGGACAAAAGGTGGGAATGAAACAGAGCCAACAAAATCATCATCTCTAAATCTTGCCATACTTCCACAGCTGACCAACCCTCCTTCTGATTAATAAGTAATATTTTAATACAGTTAATATAATTTATTTTTTACAAACTGAGTTCCTCTGAGCCCCAGAGTACCACAGAAGTACTTGAGGAAATAGAGAAAGCCTGAAGCCCAGTTGACACTGCTTTACTCATCCCCACCTTCTCACTTGAACAGAACAAGTTTATATAAACATATATTTCCACGGTCTAGTTCTCCAGAAGCCTATATATGAATCCTACTTAACCCTTATTTTATATTTTATATGTGTATGCTATAAAGTGACTTGGATAATATAATAAATCTGTCACATTATATAATATACATTATGCAAATCTGGTTACATTATATAATGTATACTATGCAAATCTGTCACATTATATAAATATATTATTCATGTTATAATATACATAGATATAAAAAGAGGTTGTTAGCTAGGATTCATGTATAGACTTCTGGAGAACCAAGCAACCCCTAAAAGCATGTGTAAACTGTGAACATACACATGTGGGTAAGCACATGTGACTGCTGCATTCCTAAGGAGAGGATCCTTGGGTTTAATAAGATTTTGAAGAGGAATCCTTTCATGTCCCAAAAATAATTAAGAGTCACTGCTTTATAGTGTTTATAAATCATTGCTCAATATGCTGTGTTAATTTTAAATTTTCTCTCTTTTCATTTATTTTCAAATGCTTAGAAAGATACGTAGCTACCTCTACAATAGCAAACACATCAACAGAGATCACATACAGGTTTTTTTGAAGTAGTTTGAAAATATACAGTGACTGATTACCGGACACATCAGATGTCAGACGTCAGCTTGGGGTCACCAGAGAGAGGTAGCACATCATTTTTGTATTCCAGCACTTTCAAAGTGCTGGATAACTACAGCTTCCTTTAACAGGTGGAAAATGAGTGACAACAAAAATAGAAAACTGTATGCCCCGTCAAGATCCAATGAGATAATTGTAAAGAAAGTCATGTGTTAAATATGAATAACTACTAAAACAATTCAATGTGGTAGGCACAGGTAGGAAATAATGCCACACAAAAACATCAACTCTGAAATGCATTAAACCCATTGAAATTTTCATATTATGCAAAACCATAGGAAGTTGAGCCAATTAAATTGGACAGGTACTTTAAAGAGAAATTATGTCTGCTAGCTCTACACGTGTAGTATATAGTGTGAACTATTAGAGATTGTGAGGTTTTTAGCAGTGTTCACCCTTGCCCAGCAGCAGCACCTTCAAGCTGTAAAATTGTTTGGACTTTGTTGTACACATGCTTTTATAGCGTGTGAAGGTAGATGATGGCAACTGAAGACAGCACCTGTTCTACCCCAAGCTGTTTTTAAGCTATTTTTACTGGCTACAAAATGCTCTTTGACTGAAAGAAGAAATAAAACATTTTTGAGCCTTTTCCTTCTAACATAATCCTTAGGTGCTTTCTTGAGAGAGGGCTGTGATCCTTTGTTAGAAAAAATGTGGTTGGCACTTCAAGAAATAAAAGGTGGCACATTAGTAGTTATGAAACTGAATGTCTACCAATTGTAACCTAAATTAAAATCCTATAAAGGAAACAAACGTTTTGGTGTAGGGAGGAAATGGGTCATGGTACATCTACTGATTCAAATGCTAGAGAATGTGAAGTTTCACATTTTAAGCCATCAAAGAATCATTGGGTGGATTAATATGCCAGGAGCCCAGCATGAATATTGCTAAGATTCTTTGATGATAGAGCTTTGTACTTTTAAGACCCGTAAAGGATTTTCATTGTGACTCTGTCATAAAAATGAAATGTTGGTCACGGGTAAAAAGATACATTCATTTAGTTATATATTAGTAGTGTAGAGAAAAATATATCAAGTGAAATAGAATTTTGAAAGCATGAAGGAAACATCACATCAAAGTCTAGCTAAAATACCATTAGACTGAGGGTTCCTCATAAACAGCCCGACCCTTGCCAAAGTCTGTATAAAGCAAATGCTTATTCATTGATGGCATTA